CAAGTACCAGCAGGTGAGCCCTGGGCCTCAGGTGTATGAGGCCAACACAGCCTGAACCAGTGGCACTTGCTCCTCCGTCCCTGCTCCTTTGGGAGATGACAGTGTCCCACCCTTTCTCCCGTGCTGGGATGTTGTGTTATGGGGTGACAGACGTGCGGGGCTGGTGGGGTTTCATGGGACCAGCTGGAGTAGGTCCTGACTGAGGCTGTGCCTATGGCAGGACCAGCTGGTGAAGGAGGACAGTGTGGAAGCCGTTGGGGAGCAGCTGAAGGTGTATCACCAGCAGTACCATGACAAGAGCTGGGAGTATGACCTGCTGTATGAGGAGTACACACGCACTTCCCAGGTACGTGGGCACTGCCTTCCCCAGGGGCTGCCTGACACCCCCAAGGGCTGCCCTGGCACCCCCTGAGCGCTGGCAGCTACCACGCCGTGCAGAGGGGAGGGCAGAGATTGGGCACCCACTGACTGCCCTGTTTGTCTGCTGCTGGACTTGAGGGGACTCCCCAGAGGATGGTTTTGAAGAGGGAGATATTTTGGCTGCTGCAGAGACAGTGCTGCTTTGGGGAGGGGGGAAGAGAGGATGAGAATGGGCAGAAATGTTCCTCAGCTCTCCCCTCCCTTCTCCCAAGGAGCTTCAGATGAAGAGGATGGCAATCGAGGCCTTCAATGAGACGATCAAGATCTTTGAGGAGCAGTGTCAGACCCAGGAGAAGTGCAGCAAGGAGTACATCGAGCACTTCTGGTGCGAGGGAGAAGGAGGTGCAACAGTGAGGATGGGGGAGATGGAGGCCTGCCCTGTCTGGGGAAGGGCTCCAGGAGCTGGAAGGATCCTCCTGGCCCAACACAGAGCTCAGGCACGCACAGTCCTTGCCTCTCAGCAGCGTGCTGTGGGCTGGAGCTGACAGGCAGCCTCCTCTGCCTCCCCCACTCCGGCTCACAGCCCCCCCTCTTTCTCCCAGGATCCTCATGAACTCAGAAAAGCTCAAGTCCCACATCACAGAGATCCATGACAGCAAGATGAAGCTGGAGCAGGACTTGAAGAAACAAGCGTCGGAGAACCGGGAGATCGACAAGCGCATGAACAGAATCAAGCTAGACCTCATGCAGCTGCGCGAACTGCGGGACCAGTACTTGGTGTACATAGCACCCCTCCAGCCCGGCCCAGGAGCCATCCAGCTGGCTCCTCGAGGGCTCTGGGGCTCGTTGGACCGGCTGGGAGCCTGTTTGGTGCGGGAGTGAACTCTGCTGCACTGCCATGGGGCTCTGAGAGGGGCGGCTGCTGCCCTCTGGTCATGGCCCCGCCCGGGAGCCGCGGCCCGGGCTCAGCTCTGCCTTTCCTCCCCCAGGTGGCTCACGCAGAAGGGTGCCCGGCAGAAGAAGATCAACGAGTGGCTGGGCATCAAGAACGAGATGGAGGAGTGAGTGTCTCCCTGCCCCTGCTCATGTGGGGGGCCATGGGCACCTCCCAGCTCCCTGTGTCGGAGCCAAGGAGCCTTCCCTATCGGAATGGGTGGTGGCAGCAGCAGTGTGGGGGAGGTGTGAGTGCCCAAACTGAGAGTCTGACCCCGCCTGTGCTCCACTGCAGCCAGTACTCCATGACGGATGATGAGGAGGAGCTGCCTCACCATGAGGAGCGAACATGGTAGGTGGGGAAGATCAACCGCGTGCAGGCAGAGGAGATACTGTGTGGCAAGAGGGTCAGCACCTTCCTGATCCGTGAGAACAGCCAGAAGGGATGCTACGCCTGCTCCGTGGTGTGAGTATCCCGGTGCAGATGTGGAACGGGGCTGGTGAGGGCTGTGTTCCCACACGGCTCCACCTTCCCCTCGCCAGATGCTGGAGGTGTCAGACTTTCCCAAAGTCTCCTCTCTGCCTTGGCTCCTCCTGCCAGGGCCAGGTGTATTTCTGGGCTGCTTTGGTGGCCCCTGCTCATGCCCTGCT